GTGTAAGTACGTTATGCCAACGTAATTATTTGACCTTCAACCAACGTCGGCCCGACGTTGATCCATCTAGTCGGATAGACGTCTTTGCAACTGGCTGAATTGACGTTGGCCCGATGGAAAAATGAACGTCTATGCAACATCAGAAAGGTACGTTGGGCCAACGTGATTGGTCGACGTTGCACAAACATTATCGGGCCAACGTAGATCCAACTAGTCGGGCCGACGTCTTTCCAACCAGCTGAATCCACGTTGGGCCGATGGAAAAACGGCCGTCGCGCCAACCTTTGTGTAAGTACGTTGTGCCAACGTAATTTTTCGACCTTCAACCAACGTCGGGTCAACGTCGCTTGCTAGCTGGGTAACACCAATACTACCTTTGATTTTCTACTATTATTCCATTATCAGTGCTTCACTGAGGACAATATTTTTCCAACAATAGGGGGCACCATTGAAGGTTCTAATGAATCAAAAAACTAAGTTTTGGCAAGATTGTCACTTACGACCTTTTCTTAATAACGTGACGATACACTGTACATAAAGTTAAGAAAACAAATCAATTTTCCGACATCAGCGGAAAAGCTCTTTGTGTCAATAGGCGTAGTTACACCCCAATGGGTGTCACTCGGTCGGCGTAATAATTTCAAACTATTGCATTTCCTCGTTTGGATATACAACCGGACCCCTTTTCTCGTTGCGGATTGAAATTACCTCGCTCCTAGACTTGCCACTAGTCTCTTATTTTTTTATTATTTTTCTCATTCTGGACAGCGCCACCAATGAGAAAGTTAATTTAGAGACAGACAGAATAAGCGACTTGTAAAACACTGAAATCAGGTGTAGTATCATTGACACGAATATAAATATAGTACATGATATCCAAAACATCAAGAACTTTCTACTATACTCAGATACTCGACTCAAATTGACTCCCCTTTGTTAAGAAAGCACAGCCTATATACAGCATGCCAGGTGTACCTAATAATATTTAAATCTATCGTTACTCAAGAGGGCGCAATATTACAACATCCCCTTTTCTTTCAAGTATTTAAATATTACTATAAAGTAATTAGTTCATAACATATTCCGAATGCCAGACTGGTACAGTCTGTCGCCTAGAAGAACGTCGTAAGACTCCCTGTGTAGTCTCCTGTGTAGATGATTGCACATCCCTTAATATCATCGGTTCATCTGGCTGTACATTGCAACTAAGTTGAGTATCAAAATCAAATTCAGTATCTGAATAAATTGATGAATGCGGCGCATACAAGATGTTACGTCGATTTCTCCTATACGTTTTCCCATTCACTTCAACAATATATGAACGAGGCGTTCCAGCACATTTAACAATTCTTCCAGTGGACTCCCACCCATGTTTAGATTTAATTTTCACTTTATCACCCGGTTTAAGTTCTTTCAAATTTCTTGCACCATATTTTGAATTATAATACACTTCCCCTTTTCGCTTATATGATTTATCAGCCGCTCGAATGTCTTTCTGGTTTGGTGTATAAGGTTTGAGTTTCACAGGTAGTTGAGGTAGAGTTGTTCGTATCTCTCTTCCCATCAGTAATACAGAAGGACTCAAACCCAAACTAGGTATTGGTGTTAATCGATAAGCCATTAAAGCTGAAAGGTAATCAGTTTGTTTAAGAATGTTCTTTGAAATATGCACTGCTTTCTCTGCTTGCCCATTTGCTTGAGCATGGTATGAACTAGCAGTGACATGTTCAAAGTTGTAATCTTGTGCAAATTGACGAAATTCTCCCAAAAACTGAGGACCGTTATCGGTGATAACTGTTTCCGGAATACCAAAACGAGCAAAGTCAACTTTCAAAACGTTAATCACAGCAGCGGACGAAGTTTTATGCATAGCATGTATTTCAATCCATTTCGAATAACAGTCCACTACTATCAAATACTGTTTACCATCTACTTCCGCCAAATCACACGCAATGCGTTGCCATGGACGATTTGGAAGTGGAAACTGAATCAGTGGTTCTGCCCTTTGTGATGATTGTTTACTTGTACAATGTTCACACCTGCTTACAAATTCAGCAAAATGTTTCCCAATTGAAGGCCACCAAATCGCTTCTTTAGCACGAAGTCGGCATTTTGTTATTCCCTTGTGTCCCTGGTGAATTCTCGACAGCATCTCCACTTGCAGTATTTTAGGAATAATTTTGCGCTCACCAAAGGTCAAAATACCATCAATCATACTAATTTGATCTCGAACATCCCAAAATGGTTTAATATCTTCCGTTACATCTTTAGCATATTTAGGCCAACCATGATTTACATAGGAAGAAATAATAGTTAACATTTTATCATTAGTTGTCTCTCGAACAATTTCTTCAAGTTTTGCATTAGATGCAGGCCAATGCTTGGTAACCATTCTCACATGAGCTAACAATTCCTCTTCAAGATCTATATCTTGTGGTTCTCCAACATAATTGACAATTATATTTCATAAGACGTATCAAAAACCTTTGACACTGTAATGGAGCATCACATAAATCTTTAGAATTAATCAATGGTACGAAAGGTTTATGGTCAGTTTGTATTATTACTTGAGTCCTCTAAGGTAAGTATAAAAACGATCACATGAACATACCGAAGCCAATAGTTCCTTCTCAATTTGAGCATATTTCCTCTCAGAAGACGTTAATGTACGCGAACAATATTCAACAGGTCGCCATGTTCCATCACTCTGACATTGAAGTACACAACCTCCAATTCCATAAGCACTAGCATCAGCACTGACCATAGTTGGTTTCCCTGGATCATAAAATGCCAATGTTGGTGTAGAAACTAATTTCCTTAAGACGACTAAATGCTTTCTGCTGATCAGGACACCATATCCAATCAACATTATCTTTCAACAAATCATTTAGCGGTACAGCTATAGTAGATAAATGAGGAATAAATCTAGAAACCCAATTAATCATTCCCATGAAGCGTTTAACATCCGACTTTGAAGTTGGTACTGGCATATTTACAATTGCTGCAATTTTAGAAGAATTAGCTTGTAGACCATCCTTATTAAGGGTATGTCCAAGAAATTGTACTTTAGTTTTTGACAGGTAAGATTTCTCACTACTCAGACGAAGACCCATGTTGTAAATAGTATCTATAACTTTATGGAGACGATCATCATGTTCTTCCTGAGTACTACCTGTAACTAAAACATCATCAATATAAACAACTACTCCTGGAATATGAGCTAACATATCACTCATAATTCGTTGATACATCTCCGGCGCTGAAGTTATACCAAAAAGTAAACGCTGAAAACAATATCTTCCAAATGGAGTGATAAATGTTGTAAGTTTTTGACTATTTTCTTCAATAGGAATTTGCCAAAATCCTTGCTTAGCGTCTAATGTTGAAAACACCTTTGCTCCTGTAATCTTCCCAATTACATCCTCTATTGTTGGAATAGCAAAACGTTCACGCACAACACATTTATTAAGATTTCTCAAATCCACACAAACGATTTTGACCATTTTTCTTTGGTTCTCGGATTCGTTTAATTACACCTTGGTCTTCCATACGAATTAATTCCTGTTCCACCTTTGGTAGTAACGGTATTGGAATGCGACGTGGAGTATGTACACAATACGGCACAGCATCAGTTGCAATTTTAATTTTACCTGGTGGACCTTTAAGACATCCTAAACCTTCAAATACGTTAGTAGATAATGTATTAACTCGCTTTATTAATCCCAGAGATTCACAAACATCTTTACTAAGTACAGGCTCTCCTTTGTCCAAGACAAGAAAATTTACCATAGTTCTGCATCCTTTTACTGTACAAGCCAATGTTATTTCTCCTAGAGGTATAGCCTCGCCTCCGAAGAATCCAATCAATCTCAAATTCAGCATATCAAACAGATTTTGGTAAGATATTCACTTCTGAACCAGTGTCTAACCAAAAACATAACATTATGATTTTGCACACATCTTCTTTATGGTGAAGAAGATCCATGTCGTTTCACTGTTCCAAGTAGAAGTGTATTCTCATCCAAATCACTACTGCTATCAGGCACATACTGTTGCACAGCTTTTAAATGTTTTTTATGCATTTTTGCTTTACAAACACGTGAAAAGTGTCCAATCTTCAAACAAAGTGACACTTTTTACCTTTCGTAGGACAATTTACATGACTGTCCCAATGACCACATTGAGGACACGACTTGCTCACTGGCGATCTGTGATTTTGAGATTTCACAGGTATAGCCCGAGAAGGACGGCGACTCACAGATTGTACACTAGCTGCAGACGACTCTCCTTTTATTGTACGCAAATCCTGCAAGGCAGTTTCAACCATATTTGCATGATCAACCGCTTCCTGAAACTTACACTTATCCTTTCAGGAAGCGGTTGATCATGCAAAAATGGTTGAAACTGCCTTGAAGGATTTGCGTACAATAAAAGGAGAGTCGTCTGCAGCTAGTGTACAATCTGTGAGCCACCGTCCTTCTCGGGCTATACCTGTGAAATCTCAAAATCACAGATGGCCAGTGAGCAAGTCGTGTCCCCAATGTGGTCATTGGGACAGTCATGTAAATTGTCCTGCGAAAGGTAAAAAGTGTCACTTTTGTTTGAAGATTGGACATTTTTCACGTGTTTGTAAAGCAAAAATGCATAAAAAACATTTAAAAGCTGTGCAACAGTATGTGTCTGATAGCAGACACGACTTGCTCACTGGCGATCTGTGATTTTGAGATTTCACAGGTATAGCCCGAGAAGGACGGTGACTCTCCTTTTATTGTACGCAAATCCTTCAAGGCAGTTTCAACCAATTTTGCATGATCAACCGCTTCCTGAAACTTACACTTATCCTTTGTGAGCAGCTGCCTCTGTACAGTTTCATTCTGCATACCACAAACAAAACGATCACGTAGTGCATCGTCTAAAAACGTTCCAAATTCACAAGAACTAGCCAAATTTTGTAGTTCCACAGCATACTGCGCAATAGATTCTCCAATTCGCTGACCGCGTTTATAAAAACGAAAACGTTCGGAAACAATAAGGCGTTTTGAGCCATAATGCTGGAGTAACAATGCACGTAAATCAGAGTAACTTCTACTACTAACTTGTATCGGCTCGGAAAGACGTTTAACAGTCATGTAAACTTTAGCCCCAATAACACTTAGTACAACTGCTGATTTCTTAACATCAGGCACCTTATTTGCCAAAAAATATAATTCAATCCGCTCAAGATAGTCAGTAATCTCCTCGGTTTCATCATAAGGACCAGTCTGTCCTATAAACGACGAATAAACAGCAGGACATTTGACCTCCTCGACCATTCTGCAGAGTATTACTAATAAACACAAGAAAAACTCAGCACAACTGCTATAATGAGTTTATCTCAAACACAATACGGTATGACTTAGGATCGTCAAACAACCCGCTGCCACCATGTAGTATCCTTGACACGAATATTAATATAGTACACAATAATATCCAAAACATCAAGAACCTTATTTCTACTATACTCAGATACTCGACTCAAATTGACTCCCCTTTGTTAAGAAAGCACAGCTTATATACAGCATTCCAGGTGTACGTAATAATATTTAAATATATCGTTACTCAAGAGGGCGCAATATTACAACATCAGGCACAAGGATGCCAAAAGAATGACGTAATTTTATATTCCGTATTTGGATAAATGGGCGGACCGAAATAAACTATTTTAACCAATCAAGTGTTCATATTTTTGGAGCCACGTACCTGAGTCACTCGCGTCGACTAGTTAGGCATGGCTAAATTTAAATAGTCCTCCCTAATAAAACGGGCCTAAAATATTTAGAATAGACCCTAGTAATAAGACTAATTTTTGCAATGGCGAAAACAATTAAGCTTAGACTAGATTCTTCAACTTTCCAGGAGGATGGCTCAGGCCTCGTCTGGAGTCAGGAGTAGTAGTAGGCCTAGCCTAGTAGAGGCTTGGCGTATTTTTAAAATTTTTACTTTACAGAGGCCTACCTTTTTAACAATATTCTACCCTAAAGGCCTAAATCTGTGTAGCAGCTAGCGGTGAGCAAGATTCCTAAGTATAGCCTACGGTTATCAGTCCGTGTCGTTCTCAGCAGGCCAGAACTAAACTGTTTTAATTCAAGTATAGGTAGCCAAAAGGGAGCTGGTTAGCTTGTCGAGACATCCGCACCTTCAATTTTGAAAATTTACCAAGATTGATTAATATGCATGAAGTTAGCCAATCACGTGATTTACAAAATCAGTCATCCATACGATATCCCACATCAAATTTGATGTGGGAAATCGTACACATGAATCGTCTGCCCAGGCCGCGATTTTTTTTTCCGTACGAAACATTTACATGAAACTCCACTCGGGCCGTCTCGGCTGAATCG